ACATTGTCATTATGGGGTATTGTGTGTAGAATTTTGAGGAAAAAATTAATTTAATCTCTTTTGGAATAAGGCTGTAACATAATAAAATGTGGAAAAAGTGAAGCGCTGTGAATACTTTCCGGATGCACTGTACATGTGGACATGCACACACAGAACTTACCCCAGGGGGCTCCTGGCCTACTTTGGCCCCACTGGTGCCCAGCAGGGTCCTGCTGGAGCTGGTAGAGCCATGGATTTCCAACTTCCACATGGGTCTGTCCCACCCAGAGGAAAGCACCACCTGGAAACATGGATGGGATTTGATTGGATGTGGGAAGGTGATTTTAAAGTACTTTTTCAAGGACGAGAAGACTGTATTGTAGTTAAAACAAAAGTTTTTAATCTACCCTTTCCTATGCTGTGATTGGTCCCAGCCTTACCTGGCGGGCATAGAGCAGCAGGCAGAATAACACCAGTAGCAGCATCGTGCACATCACATCTCCCTTCACATGGAGGATCCTCCTCATGGTCACCATCTTCCTCAGTGTCTTCTGAAGACACTGACGTCAGTTAAGTACTGAACAGAAATGCGTTGGAAAGGGGCCGCTGCAGTTCATACTCCTTTTCAGACAGCAGCCGAGACCGATTCACACACTGACCAGATTTGGGTTTGCAGGCTGCGGATGAAGAGACGTGGTGATTTTCCTTCCTCCTCTCTGCTGCATTGAAAAAAAGTGATGTAGTGTTGTACTCTCACTTGTTCACTTAAGGACTGAAAAGTTGCTGTGAAGGTGGGTGTGGTTTGCACTCAGCTGCAGGAGAGAGAGGTGTGGGGAAGGATTGTGAGAGCAGCACCAGGTGAGTTGATGATCTCAGCTGCTACTCAATGTGTAATTACTTTACCCTTTATGTTGCGTTGTGCTGAGTGAACCCTTGGTAGTAGCGAGTCATGCTACAGTTGTGTTGAGAGAAAAGCAGCTTATGGTGATTTGGCCCTGTAGATATCACTCATATCACTGGATGTATGTCCCTCCCGTCTGACCCCATCCTCTTCTCCTCCTCAGGCACCAATGTCTGGGGACATCCTGAACAATTAGGGACAAACTGGAACAACACAACAGGCAAGAAATAACAGAGAATGTGATATGAAAGAGAGTGGAAAACAAAATTCACATACATTTTGCTGTTGCAAAGAGGATATTATTACTTTTCCCTTTTTTCGTTCCTTTGCTTTGCTCAGGGAAACTGCCCTGGACGTCTGTGCTGATTGTGAAACCCTTTCTCATCTTGTCTATGCAATAAAACAATCTTCCATTGTGGCATAAATCAATTCAGCTGATTCTTCCTGAAATATGTTCCCGTGAGGGAAAAAAATGATAATACGATGCAGTGTAGAGACCAACAGACACAGCCAACCCTTTACTTTTCCCTCCATTTTATCACTGTGCTGTTTTCTTCTCAGCAGTATGATTCGGGTAATTTGGAAGTCACAAGATGTCTTGGCGTCTTTGTTAGAACTGGATAAATTAGGTTGAATGGTGAGTTTTGAACATAGTTAGGACCTGCTTTGCAGTGTTGGGGAAGCTTTGCAAGCTACCAACAGACCTTTTTCACAGCAGCCATTTTGACATGAAATAGTAGGGTAAACACCAGTGATTCTAATTATTGTTCTGTTAGTGCCACTAATTTGAAAAATTCTACAAATAATGTTTCATAGGTGAGCTGATTTTGGAAAAGCAATGGTCATTTTTTATTTTTTTTATCATTACTTTCCTATTATGGCCCAGAATTATGTGTATTTTCACTAGTTAACTCCAATGGCAAAAGAGTACTTAAACTACCTGAGTCACTATGCAATTGAACTACCTGCAAGCCACTGCATAGTGTGGTTACTACAAACGACTACTTTAATCCAAGATGTTATCATCTACTGCTGATAATCACTAATATGCATCTTTCTCTTGATACCAAATTTCATTTCTTCATAACTCCTCTCAGGAGGGGGAGGGTCTGTGTCTTATGTAAGTCAACATCAACTTTTTCAGAGAACACAGTGTCCCAACGCTCATGTCACTAGCAGGCATCACTAAATAATGCTGACACAGAAGATTCCCGGTTGTATAAGTGAGTGATCACAGCTATCCGCGTCTGTCAGGGAGCACACATTCCAGACAAGCGTGACCAACACCACCGCAAACTTCTTCTGGCGCAGATTTACACACAAAGTGTCATTTTCTTTTCCACAGATACACTGCGCATGTTTTACGGTGTGGACAACAAGCCTGTCTGCTTTTATAATCACACAATACCTATAAACTGTTAAAAAGTCATTCAAACTTACCAGACGTGTGGAAGGAGGAGGAGGTCAAACTGAAAACATCTGTCTGAAAAGTGCAACACGGACTCTAAGTGATTTCTAAAGTTTCCAAAGATCCAGTGAGGAGAGAGCAGTCCAGATGCTGCATTCATGGGTGTGTGTGTAGGTGTGTGTGTGTGTGTGTGTGTGTGTGTGTAGGTGAGGAGGGACAGAAGATATCTGTATCTGTCTGTTAAGTTGGCGCTGAGCCCGTCTGCAAAGCTGCTGCGCTCATGGTTGCCTTCAAGTGCAGTAGGAAAGATTGAAATCTGCATCGTCAACGAAATAACTACAAGTGTCGAAAAACATCAAATGGTTTCTGAGATAATAAAGTTCACAAAATAAGTAACGCTGCTTGTCCTCGGCTTTATGTTTCACGTCTCTGTAGCCTACTAAAGATGAGAAAGGTATACAATAAGTGTTACAATCAGCCAACACCGTATAATTATGAGTGTGTCTATACATGGGAGTGTATCACAGCACAGTAAGCAGAAATTTACATTTAAATGAATGTCTCTATTCATCATTTTAACTATAAAAGTGCTTTCCTTATAAAACGTTTAAAATACCTATTGTTAATTATTTTTCTTTAGTCTATCGACCCAAATTATATATGAGAATTTTTGAGCAAGTGAGCTAACCAGGAGAACTTGAACGCAGCATCTTCAGCCTTCAGTCTGACCACGTGACTTAAACTGGAGCGGAGCAACTTCAAGCCAGATGCCAACACAGCAACTGAGGATGGAGGAGTAAGAAAGAAAAGAGAAGAATAAATAAAATGGGAGAGTGTGGCGTTAAAGTTACAACAACGACTGTCTTTGGTTCGTCTCCACAACACTGTGAAACCAGAACGCTGATTTAACTAAAAAACCTGTTGCAACGTATTACATTGAAAACTTTAGGTAGAACTAACTCAGTTTTGTAAGTTAAAAAAAACATTCTTGATCAAGTAGCTTTAGTCATTTTAAGTAACGCTGACTTGATTTTGTAATTTCCATTTGTACTGTGAAAACAAACCCAGTAAAACTATAACGTACACAATTGAGTTTGTGTTACTTAAATTTTCTATGTAATCCATTTTAACAAATGTTTTTGAGTTCAAATAACTTATTGCATTAGTTAGAGAGTCAGAGATGAAGGCCAGCTACAGAATCCATAGAGGTGGAAGAGAAGATGAAAATTAAAAAGGAAGAAGAGGAGGGGAGAACACAATGTAATGACTTGCAACTGCTTTCTAAGTTGCTCTCCCTGTTGAAAATGTTGTCCTTGGCTTTATTCGTACATATTGAACTGATCGTGATAAAATACAACATATTTATTCAACCTCAGTCAAATGAGTCTCTATATTTCTCTAATATTTCTGAGCAGTTTAAGCAGCACGCAGGGAGCACACATGCAGAGACAGAGTGCAGCAGTAACAGTAATTTATGACTGCAGATTGCACAATATGTAGCACCTATAGAACAGAGCATGTAAGCCAACATGTGTGTTTCCAATCAGAACCATACTGGGTGTTTCTGTCCTTGCAACCTGCAGGATATACAGGCTATAGCTCAACTGCATACATAGAAACACTCAAAAAATAACATGCAGCATAGCCTACATGATGTGTGGCAGCTGTATGTCCAAAAACTGGAAAGATTTTGCAGCTGGGTCCGTTTTTTTTTCAGGCTCATGCTGTGCAGCCAAATGTTCAAACCTGCAGTAGAGGCTATAGCTTTTCCAAGTTTCCTGCAATGTCAAATATATCATCCTGAACTTAGTGGAAATGTGCATACAATTATGTATTATGCATACATTTGGAACAAGCTGATGCTGAATGTATACGATATGACACTGCCAGACAGTGGGGAATAAGATGGTTAAAGTTGTTAACACTGATTAAATATAAAAAATGCATTTTCACTGTGATGTGCTGCTATCCTCAAGAGGAGACTACTCACTCATCAGATACTCCAGCTGCAGTTCAGGTGCTCAGTGGCTGCCAGTATAAAGCAGCTGTGAGTGGTGGGTAACATCACTCTGATAAATAAATATTGGGGAAACTTGGCTGTAAGTGCTTATCATATGTTCTGCAGTTTGAAAGACATATGAGACGAAATATATCCAGTATGAGTAAAGGAGACTAAAACTTCTCCTCTTTTTAGAAGAGGGCTGGTTTTTACACACACTAATTCTAGCTTCTATATTCACATCCAACCAGAGGTACACAAAGAATAAACAGTAAAGCAAGCCAGCTGCTCTCATAAGAGCAACATTCCCATATGATACTAGAACAAAGTCAACAGGGTTACACAAGCTTTTAAAACACAAGTTAATTTAATAATAGTTTATCTGTCAAACACAAAATTACATTTAAAATCTCTGTGTACAATCTACAAAAGGTAAACAAGATAAAACACACAGCATTGGTCCTCTGTGACATTCATTAATTTACAATAGTTCTCTTTGGCTACAAACACCACACAAAACACACAACAGCTGGGAGCAGAGACTGAGTGTGAGCGGACTGTCACACAGACGATCAGCGCCACCAGTGACTTCAATGGCACGGCTCTCGGTCTGAGAGCGAGCTGCTCCCTGTCTCGCTCCAGCTGTGCTCTCTCTAAACATCGCTGTGTCAGCTGAATTAAACAGTCCGTGTGCTGATCCAGGAGATTTTCTACAAACTCTTGTTTCTTTGTGGATGCGGATGGCTTGGATGACTTTTCTGAAGTTTAAACATTTCTTAGACAAAGTCACCTGGAACAACTCTAGTTTGACGGATATTAGGCATAACTGTTTACTGATGCTGCCTGGCAGTATGTATGAGCATGTAACTGAAGAAAAAGACATGTTTTGACCCTTCCTAAGTCCCGCCCCTTTTTGCTCTGTGCTCCAATAACAGTTGAGCAACCCTCAGTCAGAACCTCGGTCAAATTTCTCCTTTTCTGTACTTAGTACTGCTACGTGCTGAGCTCGTCTGTGTTGAAAAAGACAACCAAATTCTGCAGATTGTTTAAATATAAACCTTTATATATGCGACATGATGATACCTACCAATCAACAATCAATGTAAATTAGCAAGCTAGTTAGCTATTTTTTGCTAACATTAGCATTCATATATAACTAGCTAGCAAACGACTGACGTAGATTGGCTAGCTATTTAGCTGGTAGCTTGTTACCGTTAGCTAGCAAACACAAACTGTGACTATATACTGTATATATTTATCTTTTAACCATCTTCAAAATGTGGTTGTCTTTTTCAACATAGACTAGCCTAGCACATAGCATATCTGAGAACAGGAAAGGAGAAGGTTGACCGAGGTTCTGACCGAAGCTTGCTCGACTGCTATTGGAGCACAGGGCAAAAAGGGGCGGGACTTAAGTTGGACAATATGTTGAGCCTTTCAGTTAAATGAATTAAAATGATTTTCTCCACAGCATCACTGTACTCAGTTCGGGGAAAGTCTCCAGTCCCTGTTTTGGTCTAGCTGAAGTCTCTAAACTGATGTGTCACTCCTGCCTGCTGACTCCTACGCTCATTTGGACAATTATTTAGCAAAGCTGTAACTGCACTAAATCAAGCTCTACCAAACTGAGATGGATGACAACTCTACCAAAGCACTAAGCCTGTGGTCAGCATCTTATTTCTGAGCTAACAGGATTTCAAGTTTCAAGGACAGTCAAAGTGTTATGGAGCTGGTGCCAAATGTTGCTTATTCCTAAATCATGGGGAAAAAATAAGATTAAGGCTACGACAGCGTCCCCATTCCACAGTCTGAAGTGTCCCAGGCTCGTCATTTATCAGGCATCTTGAAATAGATAAAGTCCAAGATTACAGTGCTGATCGGTTGTGCTTGTGATCATTCCTCCTCTTCGATCGTCCATCTATATGCCCATTCCTGCATTCCCCCCCTCCTTCTGCCCTCAGGAGGATGCAGTGCCAGCTCTCATGACCCTAAAGAGTGCGTTGACGTTATTGCTCTTGATGGCGTCTCGACAGGCGGAGATCACTTGGTTCTTGGGCTTACCCACTGAGGAGGAGGAGGAGGAGGAACAGCAAGAGACAAGACTCAGTTGAGGGGACAAGACAGGTAGGCAAGATGTAACAACACATGAAGGTTGACCCATATGTCTATCAGCTTCTGTTCACATTCATTTCGTTTTTTTCTTCTTAAAGATCTCCCTACATACTTATTATTGCTTAATACATATTAATAGTGGGTTGTTAAATGCTTGCATCACTGCCATAGCATAAATAAATGCCACTGTTTAAACCAGTGAATGTGTTGTGACTGAAATGTGAAATGTGCCGGTCAATAGATGCTGTTAAGGTTCCCAGGTAATGTTTTGAGGCTCAGTGTTTTTAACCAGAAGTTGTGCCAGCTACAGTTCAGAGCCAGATCTGTAGAAGAAAACAAAAGTATTGGCCACCGGATTAAGTAAGCACTTAGCAACAATTGTCCACCAACACCAGGCTGGCTTTATTCCGGGCAGGCTTTCCTTTTTCACTGAGCATCACTTGGTAAATATATTGTATTCTAACTGGGGTAAAAACACTCGAGCAGCACGTCACGACACTGGACGCCCAGAAAGCTTCTGCGTGTCCTGAATGGCCTTATTTGTTTGAAACTGTGAGGAGGTTTGGATGTGGGAAGACTTTTGTAGACTAGACTGAAATTATTTATTGCTCTACTAAATCCTCTGTCATAACAAATAATACTTAATCAAAGCAATTTAGTCTATATCAGGGTGTAAGGAAGGGAGATTGTCCCGTTTGTTATTTAGTATAGCACTAAAACACTCAGATTATTCCATATTCCAGCTTATCTTTTACAATATATTAAATAATAAAATACATTTTTTTAATAAAATAAAAATACAATCTTACAGGATTGCCATGTTAAGGTTGTTCATAGTTATATCACATATTTAGGACTTAAAATATAAAAATTATAAACTTTTGCACAAATTAGATTTGTGAGAAGGTTCTGATAATTTAAACACCTTCTCATGATTGGAAAAATAAGTGTCATTAATATGGCATCTCTACCAACATTTTTAGATCTCTTTGAAAAATGGGCTGATATTGAAAAAGAGCTTTTGTCTTTAATAAAACCTTATGGCTCACTGTCGGCTGCTGAATCAGTAAGTTATTAGTAATCAGAGTTCTGTTGTCAGACATTCACTGAAGAGTCTTACTCAAATCAAACATGTCTGCAAAGTCCCTAGTAAATACACCATTTTGCCACCACTGTGCCTTTTCCCCAGCATTACTGGACAACACATTTTCTACATAGTGTGGAAAAGGGCTGTAGTGCATAAAGGACTTCTATTTACTTTTGGGTCAAGTACACTTTACCCCTTAAATTTGTTTGTGTGAGAGACACACTCTTTTAGAATTGTTTTTTCCTCCCTCCAGAGAGTAAGAAGCTCATCACCAAATTTGTGAATTCTTCTCTAAAGCCCAGTTCAGACCAAAGAGATTCACGGCGAGACGAAACAGTTTTAGAACGTTGCAGGGAAAAGTTTCAGCCAGGTGAACTGGTTGTATCAGCGTTGCGTGC